TTTTCCACGACACGTGCCAATAAATTCCTTTTTGTTTGTTTATTTAAAGCAGTTCAAACTGGACTTCTGCCATTTCCAACCAAAAATATCCCAACCCAACCTAGCGGTGCCAAACAGCTAAGAGAATTCGCTAAAGCGAAATAAAAGCAATGGTTGATTTTTCCAGGACTCCGAAGCTGTCAGATGTCATCGCGCTGGATTTACTTGTTTTATTTTCTGTTGCTGCACTGAGATCTAAACGGCGGAGGGGGGCGCGGGAGCCGGCTGTGACCCTCACACAGATCCGCTTGTGCAGACTGAACCCAGGGACAATCACCCGGGGTTCCCACGTCTCTAAGGCCCCCTCCCCCGATCTGAACCCTACACCCTGCTGGGGTCTGTTCCCCTCAGTTATTCTCTCCTCACCACAAACAGCTGCACCCAAACTGGCCCAGCTTTCTTACTCTCCTGGTTCCTACACCACAGTCTCTTCCACTTACAACAATAAACAGAAAAAGCAAAACAAGACTTCAACATGCAAAATCATCCTAATACAGAATCAGGCATAAATAATTTTTTTAAAGTGAAGAAAAATATAAAACATGAATGGCAGTTGTCTGTGCTAGTAGGACAATAGCTGATCTTTCTCTTTTAAAAAAGTACCTTTCTGTACTTTCCGCATTTTCTTGGTATTTCTTCTACATTAGAAATGCATATTCTAATATTTTTGGTTTTCATGAAACAGGGTTCCGCTATGTAGTGCAGGCTGGCCTTGAACTCGAAATGATCCTCCTGCTCAGCCTCCTAAGTGCTGGCAATACAGGCATACACCACCATGCCAAGCAAAACATGCATATTTTTCAAATGTGCTTCCTCTTCAAACTGACACCCTTGCCACCCGTCACTGACAACACTGTGAAGAGACACTGTGCACGACACCCACTTCCTCATTCACTCCTGCTCTGACTCCACTGTCCCCCGGGGGGCGTCACCACACACAGTGGCTCTCTGTCCAGCTCCAGCTCACCTGGCTTCTCTGGCTCACCCTCCCTTCCTGCCTTCCCTGGTTCAAGAGATGCCCACCTCCTTGCTGCTCCAGCCAGCCAGCCAGTCAGTCCACCCATCAAACCGGGCACTCTCTGCTTTGCCCCCTTCCCTACCCTTTCCTCTGCCACGTCTCCACCCTCCCCTCCTCTGAGGAACTCGCTCAGCCAGAGCCAGGTCAGCACTGGATTCTGACTGTTTTCATTATCACCACTCATCACAATGTGTTTTTGTCCTCAACAGACAGCCATCTAATGAAACACATGGAGTGACTGAAAAAGATGACGACCGTTCAAAACTTACCAAAGTGAAAGAAGTATCACTATAAATCCCCTTCAAAGTACTCCCCTATCAACACATTCACCCCAGGTCTTGCTGCGCTCTGCAGCAGCTCTGCAGTCTTCTCTCCTGAGTGTCCTTAGTTGCACTGTCATGGCTGCCTCATGTGCTGAATTGGCTCAAAATGTTTCCCTTGCTGGTCATGTTGACTTTGGGGAAGAGCCCGAAGTCACAGGGTGCCAGATCCAGTGAACAAGGTGGATGAGGACACAGCGCCATGTTTTTAGGAGCTGCCTTTCTGCTGGATGGCGCTCAGTGACGGCAGTCACTCTTCATACAGAAGAGTATCATGGTCACGCATCATACAGAAAGGCGCTGATGAAGGAGGACTCCAGAGGTGCTTCGGAAAGTGACACATAGGATGAGGTAAGTGTGTTACAAGTGGGGGGGGGGTTCTGAAGGAGCTTAACAATGATGTCATATTATAGTAATTTTTTAAAGTTTAAATATTCACCATATATTTTGATGACCCTCTTGTACAGGAATATATTATTTGTTATTACATACTGGCTTCTTGTCTATAGAAAAAGTAAATGAATAAGACGAGGGAGTAAAAAATTGCAGATCTTCCCAAAGAACTGATATTTTAATATAGATTAAGACAATAAATATATTTCCGCTTCCAAAAGTACATATAATTTTCCCACAGCACTTTTATGTGATCTGTGTAATAGGGCGGTTGCCCTGTGTTAAGATCTTCCACTCCCAGAGCTACTGTGCTATTTTGGCCATTTCTTCTACTTTGGGATCAGTCTCTTTAGATAAAATAATAAAAAAGTTTAATCTTCATAATAAAATTGTCAAATCATCTTAATTTCTTAGCTCCTCACTCATTCATGGTACCTCCTAATACTGTGGTCAATACTTCTAAATCTATAGTTTCTACTTTAAATACAGAAAATTAGAACGTATCTTTTTTTTTTGGCAAGGAAAAGTAATACAATAATATTCTTTAATTTTTTCCAGTTAAATTTAATGCATTTTTGAGGGGTATTTTTATTTTATTTTATTTTATTTTATTTTATTTTATTTTATTTGAGACAGTATTGCTATGCAGTCCAGGCTGGCCTTGCCCACAATAGCCTCCAACTTGCAGTGAACCTCCTTCCTCAGCCTCCCAAGTGCTGGTATTACAGGCATGCACCACCATACCCAGCCTCTGTGTATTTTTTAAAGGGTCATTAATTTAATAAAATTACTTTTTTATAATAGACTATCCAATGAGGTAGAGTCACAGGAAATTTAAATCTGAAGAACTCAAATTTAGTAGTTCAGTGGTGCAGTTCAATGAAACTAAGAAGGAGTAGTTCAACGGTGTCTCACATTCCAGAACAGTTAATTCTGGTGACAAAAATCACTGCTAAATTTTATTAGAAATTCCCATGCCTCCCAAAGAAAGGAAGCCATGAAGCCAGTCTCTCTTTGAGGAGAAAATTCACATGGCAACTGTTGACCAAACACTAAGAAACCCAGTGTGCTGCTTCATCAGGGAGGTCTAACATGAGGAGAGAAAGACACTGTAGCTCGTTGGGAGATCTGGGAATACTTCTTGCAGAGAAAGAGACACAAACCCTGAAGGGGGACAGACCTAGGGAAGTCATTCCAGGCTGCTGCAGTTTGGATGCTGAGTGTCCTCCAAGTGTGCTGAAGGCTGGGTCCGCAGGATGGCCCTCCTGGGAGAGGGTGGAATGATCATAAGGTGGGCCTAGCCAGTCCTTAGACCATGGGGTGTGTGCCCCAAGGGACTGTGGCACATTCTCACATTCTCATCCTCTCTCCCCTCTCCTGTCCCATTTAAGGTGTGTGCCTTTTGTTCCAGCAGGTGCACCCCCAACACTGCCATCCATACCAGGCAGTGACACAGCCAGGGATGGCCCTAACCAAGCCAACTCTATGCTGTCTGGACTTCACAAGTCTAAAATAAGATGATCTAAATAAGCGTTTTCTCTTTATAGAGTTAACTGCCTCAGGCAGTTTGTCACAGTAATAACAAACTGCATAATATACAGGCAATGGGCACAAATGAATGGCCTTCCTATTCCCAAGGGACACTGGGCTCAACAGAGTGGGCAATGGATAAGATCTGAAAGGTTCTGGGCAGAGGTCTCACAAGCGCAGAGAAGGGCTCAAGAATAATTCATCTACAGAGGCCTCTAGAGAGAGAGGGAAAGGCTGGAGGAGAGACCAAAACACCGCCCTGAGGGAAGGAGCTAGGCTTGCCATGCAGTGCCCAGTATTTGGTCACAGACTCAACCACAGCAAGCAGGCTGGAAGCAACCTTCAGCTGCTTCTTTTGTGCCTGAAGTCCATTATAAAATGCCTACTTCATTCCCAGAGAACACAAACCCAAGTCAGATCTCCTCTGGATCCGTCTCTGTTATAGAAAAGTCTGAATCCATTTTTAAAGTTAGCTTGCAGATGGCTTTCAGTCCCCATCGCTCCAGCTTTCCCCAAACACCTGTGCAAGCCAGTGAGGAAGTGGAATGCTTCTTTCCTGTCCCGGCTGCAAGATCAAACCACTGGTCCTGCCAGAGCCCTCGCCAGCCTTGCCAACCACAGAAAAGGCAACGCACTCAGTGGACCCCTGTGCGTCCTGCCTCGGCGTGGAGAAACAAACCTTTCACACCACACATGTGGTCTGGCTCCAGCTGGGGTTGGGACACTTGACTGCAATTCCACAGGGTAACCACGGGCTCTGTGGCAGTGGGTTCCTCGAGTGGCCTTACTATACCCACGTTATAAGCAGAAAGCTACAGCGGAGTACAGAAAGGGTTCCTGGGTGCAAGAAGCCTCTGGTGGGAGACGCCCTTTAACCATGTTCCGTGGCCTGCAGTCATTTCGCTGATGACCATGGTGAGCAGTGTCTCAGTCCGTTTTCTGTGGTTTTCACAAAACACCTGAGGCCAGGTAATTTATAAAGAATGGAACTTCATTTGGTGCATGATTCTGGAGGCTGAGAAGTCCAAAACCAGGTGTGGCATCTGGTAAGGGCCCTTCTGTTGCCTTGTAATCTGACAGAGGGCATCGCATGGTGAGAAAGAGTGAGTGTGCAAGCTTGGGTCTCTTTGTCTTCCTGTAACACCACTAAAGCCATCAATGGGCTCACCCTGTGACCTCATCCAATCTCATTCACCTCCCAAAGCCCCTCACTCCAGATACCATCCACACATAATCTTGAGGGTCATCTTTCCAACGTGAGTATTAGGAAGATCCACTCTAACCATGGTGAACGGTTATCTGTAGTCACTCAAATGTGGTAAAGGCCTGGCTCCGGCCTCCCCTCCTCCCTAGCCCCAAGCCCTGCAGTCCCGGGGGGAGGTACAAGCTTCAATCTCACAAACACTTCTAACCAGAAGAAATCTCTCTACCAGGTGAGACAGAAACACAACTAAACATTACTTCCTCCCAAGACTGTGAGTGAAAGTGCCAGGGCAACTAGAAAGCTAAAATGAAAAGTCACACCTGACAACAGTCTTCAAACGGCCTTGTAAGCCAAGCAATAATCTTTACATGTGCCTAGCACAGAAAGTATTTCTGGTCGTCTCAGCCAACCATGCAGGTCTCAAAAGGTCACAATCATGAAATAGCACCGTCCTCAGAAAGATAGCAGGTATAATATGGTAATAGTAAGTACTCACGCATCTTTAGCTGCTCCTGCAGGGCCTGGAGAGAAAAACAAAGACAGGTTTGTATTGGTGTGAAAGCACTGCCACAAACACATTAAGCCTGACACCTAACTGAGATAATATTCCAGAAGAGACCAGGTTTTAAGACATCATTTCAGAAAAGGACAGGAGAGGGCATCTCTGTTACTTTTCTCTCGTGGCTGAGACAAAATACCTGACGCCCACAATTAGGGAAGGAAAAGTTAATTTAGCTCACGGTTTGTGGAGGTTTCAGTCCATACTCGGCTGGCTCCAAGACAGAGTGGCACATGGCAGAGGGCAACGGTTAGTGGCGGTGGAAGACAGCAAAAGCAACAAGAGCAAAAGGGAGGAGGAGAAAGAGCAAGCCTCTTTCCCTCCCTTGCATCATATGCAAACTACCCACCCCAGGGAGGGTGCGGCTCTCACACCCATAATGCCAGCATTGGATCATGGATCAATCACAATCTCTAGAAGCCCGTCCCATGACTACATGAGGCTTTGCGGGGAGGGACATGTAGACACAAACTATAGCAGAAGGCAAGGAAATCATAAAATTCTTCAGTTTCAAATCTTACATTTTAGGATTTTTTGCTGCCCATTTTTTCTAATACCTCTAACTGCATGGTGCTGGTTTGAAAAGGGATGGTCCCAATCACTTAATCGCATTTCCCATCTCACGGGTGAGGAAACTGACAGAGTTGAGAAGCATTTTCTTTGCTACACTACACACTTCCTAAACTGGCGTGCATGCTGCATTGTCCTAAATCGTGACCAAGGACTGGTCACAAAGTGACTGCAAAATCACAGGACGAAATGGAGGTGTCAGAAGTCTCAAGAACACCAGCCTTGCTCCAAAAGGAGTCATGTGCAACGCTAACTCTGCTGTCCTTTGCCACTGTATCTTTCCTCTCTGCTTCCGGTCCCAGCGTCCGTAGCTGGACAACAGAGAACTTGCATTTCGGTTACTTTAACCTCTTAAAAACTCACTTCCCTCTGGGGTCCAAGGAGAGTTTAAAAGAGTACTTTCTCAAAGACCACTGTGAAGCTTTAGAAAGATGGTGTGTGTAAACACACGCACAAGTCAGGGTCAGCAGTCACCTCCAAGAGCTCACTTTCCTTCCCTAGAAAATAGAAATTAAAATAACTTCTGCACAAACCACAGATATTCGAAAACAAAGGCAGACGCGCTACAGAGAAAAATGCAGGAAAAGAAACTCCCCAAATTGCAAGAACTAAACCCCAGAAATGTTCATTTACGATGCATAATATTGCAAACTAAAACTAATCATGAAGATAATAGAAACTGTATCTCAAATACATTCTTCTAGGGCTTTGATTAAACCTGAACTTTGCTATAAACTTAGTAATAAAGTTTCTTCAAGAAAGAATAACACAAAACAAAACAACAAATATATATATATATACATATATATGACAGCATTATGCTACTAATTTCTCTCAGCTGATTGAAAAGGTTTGTGCTAATATTGTTTACACAATTAAACGCCTGTATCTTGTACTGTCAGTAACTAATTTAAAGATAACAATACGCAATGTATTGACCAGTTACCCTCCTATTGTTTTGAAATTTTACCTTTCTCTTTAAAATAAAATTTTTAAAAAATTTTAAAAATTTTTCTAAAAAGAGTAACACTTCTGTGATGGTACAATTAAAGTCAGAAGGAGAGGGAACAAACATTGGAATCTAAGACCACTGAAACCCAAATCCTAAAATTAAAAAAAAGAAAAAAGGTGCAGTGGCGCACATCCATTGTCCCAGGTACTCAGTGGGGTGAGGCAGGAGGATCACAAGCTCCAGGCAATCCCGGGCAACTTAGTGAGCTCCCCTCCCAAAATAAAAATTAAAAAGAAAAAAGGGTTTCGATATCACTTTGGTAGTGCACTCTGGGTTTGTTCCTTAGTACTGAGGAAAGGAGAGAGGGAGGGAGGGAAAGAGGGAAAAGGAAGTAACAAGGAAAAAAAAAAATACTGCCCATGTAGAACAGCACCACTGTAAACCTGTGAGAATCAATTTTATTTCAGAGTCAAAAACATGCAGAGAATCTGAAAGAAAGCCTGTAAGAAAGTAATACTCTTTTCTTTTTATTTTCACGGAAAAGACAGGGAACTGTTTTAAGGTCTGCAGAGCTTAGAGCTCGGGAGAAACTGGTGGTACAAGTCTTACCAAAAGAATGCGGAAATACACTGAGGGCCTGGGCCTGAGGGGGCCTCCGTGCAGTCCGGGGAAGAGGAGAGGAGAAACTGTCTCACTGCGCCTCGCCTCGGGGATGGACAGGAAGCAGGAGACCCGAGCCGGCCCGCCTCCAGCGTGTGCCCGGCAGTCACCAAGTCACTTCGCTCCTGTGTCTGAGGGAGGGGACACGCTGCCCACAGTGACAGCCAGGGCGGCGGAGCATGATGTGCGTGAAATGAGTTCATAAACGGCAAGGCGTTCCATCAGCGCTGATTGTAACCCCGCCAGGAACTGTCCTGCGCTCACCCTGACTGCTGCCTGGCCGGAGGGCCTCTCCCGCTGAGATCCCCAGTCAGTGACCTGCGGTGGCTCCGGCTCAGTTCGGGAGAGGCTGGGTCACCTTAACCAAAAATCACCCTTTCTCTCCTAAAAGGGCCCTGGCTTGAAGGGGCAGCGGCCACTTAACATCCGCAGCAGTGGGGACTCAGGAACGCTGCCTCACGCGCATTCGTGTGACTGGGAAGAAAACGTGCACCCTCAGGGCTGGGCGACCTGGTGATTCATGGAAACCTATCACCAGGAGAGAGTAGGGCCGCATACAAGCTCACGCAGTGAAAAAGAGAAAAAACATGATCTTTGAAACTGCTGGAAACCCTTGGCAAAACTCTCCGAGATCTGAAACAAAAATTACTGCCCTCGCTGCAACATTTTCATCATCCTTCACTTGACTATGTCATTAATCACATCAAGATTTCCAAGAGAACTTATGCAAAATATACTTGGACCGGAACTACTCAGATAGTGACACAATCCCGTTGACTTAAGTTGTGTTTGCAATTCACGTAATGCAGCATTTATTAAGCAACATGTAGACTGGTGCGTCTGGGCCCCAGGCAGAGAGGCCATTCATCCCCGTTAATGTCACTTTGCTTCCTGACAGACTGGCTCTTTACTGCTCAAACATAGCCTTGGTGGCTTAACCGAAAGGGCCTTAGGAGAAAGGGATGGAGGGAAGGTAGCAATGTTTCTTGGGGGCAATAAAAGGAAAGAAAAGCAAAGCTCCAAAAAGCATAGAGAACATTTCTGTGTGTCAAAAGATCTAATTGTTAGTTTCCAAAGTTACATAAATGATGATAGCCATTTTAAATATCTTCCTAAAAAACAGCGAGGAGAAGGCTGGATTTCAGAAAAGAACTAAAAATGCAGCTTCAGGAACACAACTGTAAGCCCTTAGCACAGCTGAGGACTTCTCTTGTTCAAGGTAACATGTTTTTTTAACACTTCTTAAATACTGCCGGTTGTTCACAGCATCATTTCGTCTTTCCAGGACAGTGCTTACTTTTTACTTCACACCCTTGGCAAGATTTCTTGATTTTATCCATGAGTCTCAACACCAAAAGTCTCAGCTACTTAAAAATGCAAGCAAACACAATTTATTGGAACACTCAGAACCCTAATCTGATACAGGGATATCACCGAAGCAAACCCAGCCTTTTTCCCTTGTTGCTGGCACAGAACTCCTGAAAACCTTGCAGACTCCCAAGTGACGGGGCGATGGGGGCTCCTTTCCTTGGGTGAACGACTCCGGGGCTTGACTGGCAGCTCCGGGCAGGGGTGGGGGTGGACTGGAGGTTGAGCTCAGCTCCCTTAAGAAACCTGCCACTCCTGTCGCTCACAAGCACACCCAGGGGCCCACCCAGGCCACCCACTGCACTCTCCCAGAACCCCCCACTTTACATCTGCAGAGCCCTTCTGTCCAGGTAAGGTCCCGTCCACAAGTCCCGGGACCGGGAGTATGGACACCGCCCCCAGGTTCAGCAGGCAAGCCATAACACATCTCATCCTACCTTCCCCCTCCTCCAAAAGCAGTTAATTCTGTGGGCTGGGATGTGGCTCTGTGGTAGAGCTCTTGCCTAGCATGTGCAAGGACCTGTGTCCAATCTTCAGCACCACCAAAATTAGTACAAAATAAAATAAATATCTGGCAAAGTAACATTTGGGGAGGACTATAATTAATGTAACATGTCACATACTCCACAAACACAAAGAAAATGTCACTCCTAGTGAACAAGAGAGCAAGCAAGGACACTATCAGGTCAGGCATTTTAAGTAGGAGTATCTGTCACCTTGGTCCCGTGGTGGCAAACCTATAGCACGCGTGCCGAGCTGGGCACGCACAGTCCTCTCTGTCGGCACGGGAGCCAGGTCACCCCAGCACTGGGGCACTCGGGTTTAACTGCAAAGATGGCACTCTGATAAATCAGTGGGCTTGCGCTGAAGTCTGGCACTCGGTCTCTGGAAGGTCCAACACGCCTGGGGATCTCTCTGAGAGCTCATTTTAGTACAGGTGCTGCCGAACCAAGCACGTCTCTGAGATCCCAGGATATCTCCTAAATTGTGAACTGCACTGCCCAGGACACCCTCAATGTGGGTCAGATCCATACGCTACTGCTGTGAGGGGCTCCTCACACATCCCCAACCCTAGCACGAAGAAAGCACTGCTCCCTTTTGCCACTGTGCTCCCTTCCCCCTACCCCTCCCCTCCTATAAAAGAGTTCGCATGTATTTTTACATTTGAAAAACAGCCTATTTTTGTCTTTTTGATCACTGTACATGTGCTTTATAGAGTTCATGAAATATACTGAAAATATTCAGTTCAGTAAGTATTCAGCTAAGTAAGTGGCTAAATTATACAGCAAGTCGTATTTCATTCTCCCATGGGGTGGTGATAATTCACACACTAAAAGTAAAATTACATACATGGCAAATTTATAAAAATGACTACAGACCTACAAACCACAACATAATGACTTATGAGAAGTAATAAAAGCATGCAGGAATGGCTTGTTCTTTGTTTTATAAAACCAAAGGTTCCACTGAGAACTGTATAAACATAACTACAAGAAAAGAAATAAAATTCTCTTTAATTCTGACATCTGCCGTGAGCTCCGACCCATAATAGTTCTAAAACGATGTCACTCAGTTTAGCCAAAAGCAATGAAACAACACTCCTTACTTCATCCAAAACAATGCTTATTTTTAAGAAGCCAAAAAAAAAAAAAAAAAGATTCACAAGTCTTCCGAAGGGATCTGCCCTAGAACTACACAGCCTGCCAGAGAATGCAGAAGCTCCGAGGAGAGCTGCGTCTGCAGGCTCCCCTGCGGAGCGGCACCGTGGGAGGGAAAAGCTGAGGGCAGAGTCCATGCGCAGGAGGTCACGGACTGGCATCTAGCTGCTCTAATACGGCTTAAGCAGGTCTACATCAAACTGTAAGTGGCTCCTGGCAGAACTGGGTAACTGCCTTGGGTCAGCTTCATGGACCGCTCCCTGGGTGGCAGTGGTGACCCTAGGGACCCGGAGCACGTGAGTGATACTCCTGCTTCTGTCTCCTGAGACTGACCAGGGCTCCCCCATCTCTTCATCACCGGTACTTCGAGGAGCTTCCTCCAAGAGGACAGCATCCCCAGTCCCTGCCCACCTGCCTTGAGCACAAGCCTGGCGGCGCCTCCAGCTCCCAGGCTGGAACCGCTTGGCTGGCGGCAGCGCCCCTCAACCTGCCTTCTTCAGGACCTGTCAGGAGGCTGCATCCTCACACGGCTTCAGTCAGCCACTCTAAATTATACCACACAGCCACAATGCCCCTGCCCCGGCCCCTCCACCAGTTACAAATGCCTTCCCTACAGGTGATGGGCCCTGGGGTACACACAATTAGGTTTCCCTGCAATAATCAGCGCATCGAGCACTGGCAGCACGTGAGGCAGCATTCTAAGCCATTTGCACACACTGCCTTCTATAACCTTAAGTGACGGGTTCTAACCCCCACCCTGCAGGTGAGGCACAGACAGCTTGAGCAAGCTGTCCAACGTCACACAGCAGATAAAAGGCAAAAGCGCGACTCACAGTTGGGTTTACCCCCCTCCCCGGCTCCTCCCTTTGCTTCCTGGCCACCAGCACGTGAGCAGCTCTCCTCTGCCACGGCCCTCTGGGCAAAACTGGAAGCCAAAGTAAACCTCCCCTTTAATGTGCCGGTGTCAGGCACTGAGTCCCTGCAATGAAGAAATGCATGCATTCACTCAACAAATATGTTTTGAAAAAAAAATCCCACTGAAGGTTTGGAGGCCGGTCTGGAGGCTGAGGATACAGCTGTGAAGAAACTGTCTGGGCTCTCAGGCTTCCAAGGGGTTAGGGGACACATGAAATAAGAAATAAAGTGTCAGCTCTCTGGCAAAAGGTACTCCAGCCGGGGAAAACCCGCGAGTTGAGCTTGCTTAAAAACCAGAACGTGGATGGGGCAGGGAGCACTGCATGATGGACAGGGCTTCCTGGATGCCATCGACAAAGTCTGTGTCGTGTCCCCAAGGTGGGCACTCCTACTGCGCGCTCAGCATCGTCTCAACGTTTCCAAACCACCAGCAGAGTCAATTAAGGCCAGGCCATGGAGCTACATCAAAAGAGAATGCAGTTATCCAGCTAATTGAGGACAAGGAAATAACTAATCTAAATAATTGGACCCAAAAGGATTACATTAACTCCCTAGGTACGCTGATAAAATAAGACAAATAATTGTTAAGTTCCTCCTCTGACTATTGTTATATAAATAGCAGAAGAACCATTTCAGAAACGCTCTGATAACCAACTGTCCAAAAATTATGGTTGCACAGTTGCCAGTTACATATCTCTGGAAAAAACTACAACTAACTGATTATCAAGGGCCAAACACTTTTAAAATAACTCTCCTGCAAAAAAATAATTAGTATGCATTGAAACAGGCTTTTATAGAGATGTGGAACCATCAGAACTTCTAAGGGACTTTGCAGTTTATGGAAGAAGGGATTTTCTGGTTTATATTAGTCACTCCCCAGTCTATCTACAAAGAAACTGCACTTCTTTAGGTTAAAATGTACCTGTCCATCTCTCTGACTTATTATGGGATAATTCAAGAGGAAACAAGAAGATAAAGTACTTGCTGGGGGTGAGTACACCACACTGCACCACAGCTCTCTGCTTTATAATAAATATGACACTTTTAGAGGCTAATCCAATCCAGATGGTTCCCCAGAGATTAGGGTTAGAGCCTTGGTTTACACAGGGAAAATGTCCCAAATCCTCACAAAATGCAGGCTCTCCTACTATAGTTCTAGGTTGGGGAAAATAAAATTCCTACCTTAAGACAGTGATTGTATCAAGACATAAAAATGACGAGCTCTGTGTAAAGGCCTCTCACCATCTGTCTGGGCAAACAGCTCCACTCCTCCCCCTCCACTCCTCCCCAGGAAGCCCTCCCTGACTAAACTCGGTCATTCACCACCTCCCAGGCACATGGATGCCCAAGGCACCTTCTACTCTACCCTGCTTGGCACTTGGTCTCGCCTGCCTCATCTTGCCACCTAGACCATCTGCTTCCAGCAGGAGAATCTGACTCCAACCTACTATCATCCGTGGCTGGCTGCCCTCACTCTTCTACTAAAAGTTCCTACAGAAAGCCCCGAGTACTAGGGTGGACACGTGTGGGCTGCAGGTAGAACGCCTGAGGGCTAAATCTGCCCAGATTCTCATGGGGCCGATCCACCTCCCTTTCCCTATGGGCACTGCACCATTTTACTGTGATGCTGCGGCATCCCAGTCCAATTTACCCAGGCATCTCACTCATGTCAGTCTGCTCCGTAACCAAGCTCACTGGCCCGAAGCCAAGCATGGCCACTGTCCAGGTAGCTCAAGAAAGCACCAACGATCACCTGGGTTTACCAGAATTACTCAGGGAACGAAACGCAGCTCAGGGGAGTGATTTCAGGTTTGACAACATTGTCACAACGTGTTAGGTGCGAAAGCAGATTTGCTATTTTCCTGCACAAAAACATCCATGGAAAGTCACTTCCCCTTGAACAGGGTAAAAATCTTTAGTCCAGTATGGGACTTACAGCTATGGAGCACTTGCAGGCATCATTTGATTCTGGGTTTCACATACGCCCTAGAGAACGGAGCACGCTCAGTTGTCCTCCCACACAGATGAAGGAACCAAAGCTCAGAGAAGAAAGGAAATAAATGCCCACAGTGACAGGCAGCACTGTTCCAAAGCCGAGCGCAAGCCCCCGCCAGGGTCTCCTTCCGCCGCCGCCCCTCTTTATACTTGTTTATTTGAAAGAGCAGCAACTGAAGTGCCAGACTCCTGCGACATTTCAGAAGCTGTGCTCTACAAGCACCTACGGGACCGGGACAACACGTTTGTGCCTTTTCACAGCGCAGCCTGAGCTCCGTGCACGTCTGCAGCGAGCTCAGAGCTCACAGTTGAGAGAGGCTCATGGCCCTTGAACTGTGGAGTCCTTGCCTCGCCCTTCTGTCCTGTCTTGCTGAACTTCCCTTCTGAAAAGAAACCCCTACCACCGCGGACCGAAAATAGCAGCCGCCAAACACCAAAGCCAGCGGGAAGCAGGAGCAGGGAGATGTTCCGGAGCTCCCCGGACAGGGCGTGTTTTACAGTCTGCGCTCCCTACCTTGCTCTTTTCTAAACATAAAGCTACTTTCACCGAAAAGCAGCTGGCAGGGAGGACACACGCTCTTACCTGCACCACCACCCTCCATAGACAACCAAACAAAAGCCACGCGCTGCATATGGACAAGAACTTCGAGTACTTTTCAATGTAACTATACCTCCTTTTATGGAATAACACGTGTTCCTAAAAAAAAAACCAAATACTCGTAAAGAGAATCATTTTCCCAATAAATATGACTCTTACGCTAACGTTTCAGAGGTAGCTTATGATATCTTCTTGATTTTCATGGAGTAATGAAACGTCTCCACACCCCCAATCTCGACAGCAGTTCATTAACAAAAATGTAAATGCACTTCGGTAGCTCCACTTTTAAAGAAACCTGTCATGAATCTTCCCTACAATCTTTTTAAATGCGGGTAGCTGTTCTTAGCTTTTTTTTTTTTTTTTTTAATAGCAGGCTTCGCAGCACTGGCTTCACGGGGCCACACCACCTGGAACGTTGAAAGACACAATTCTCCACCCCGCGTGCCCTTGACCCGGGCCCAGGTCTCCGTGTACAGCTTGCTGGCCACTCTCAAATCCGCTTCCTGTCCCTGTCCTCATCAGCACAGGCACTCACGGACAACCCCTGGCTGTGAGGGGAATCTAAGTGACCAGTTCCTCAGCGCCTCCCCACCTGTCACAGGAGCAGATTTCAATCCAGAACGAGGTCACCTGTAACATATAAACTTTGGAGCGAACCGCTACCCGGGCCCACTCACACCTCTGGGACTCGAATCCCGCCTATGTCAGGCTCTTGTCTCCAAAGTGAACAGCCCGCAGGGAGGACAGCCAGAAGGGAAAAGCAAACTTGGCCGGTGAATGGAACAGATTTCCACACCACTCCCATGGGTGTGCGCATCCAAATCAGCTAAACTAAGCCAGGTTCGGCCTGAGTTCAGAGAAGTGACAGGTCCAAGGTCGCCAAGCCACGGACAGGGCGTGCGCGCCGTCCTGGGACACAGCAGTGTCAGGAGCGGCTGGCTTCGCCGGCTGGGGTGGGATGTGCACTGGACTGCTTTCAACTGGAGCGCTTATCCGAAAGGACTCGGTCACAGGTCGGCAGGGACACCCCGAAACGGACGGGAAGATCTTCCATCGGGCCCCGCGGGCTGGGCCGCAGGCAAGGTCCGGGTCTCAGGTAGTACGTCCCTGACACACGCCTGCCTGGCCCGGGGACCTGGACTTGCCTCCCGCTCAACACAATGGAGCGGCGAAGACCAAGTTCCAATCGTGTTTAAACGACACAGGGGCCAGCGGCGCTGCCGATAACGAAGCCCGCCACGCGTGTCTGCGCGTCCACGCCGGCTCCCCGGGGGCTCCGCAGCGCAGCCCGGCGTCTCGGCCCCGGAGGCCGGGTGCACCTTGGGCGCATCCCGGGCGCTCCCCGCACCGCAGCCCGGCAGTGCGGACCGCTCGGCGCCACTTCCGCGCAGCCCCGGGTGAGGGGCCAGGAGGGTCCCCAGCCGGACAGGAGGAAGCCGGCGGGGACCAGGACCGGGTACCTC